ATCCATCCATATGATTTTATAATAACTATCGTGAGACATATGTCGGAATACTGAAACACTACTCAATTTTAAGTCGTGCTTAAGTATAGTTCTATCTCTACAAATTCTTTGAAAAATGAAAGAGATGGCACGATATTTGAACACGACTTAAAATTGAGTAACGTTTCAGTATTCCGGCAATACTAAATTAACTAAAAATCGCGGGTTACTCACGTGAATATACTGTACCAGTGGGCTGCGCGACCGCACACGCTGCTCAAAGGAAGAACCCCTCTGTGGTTCGAAACTAGTAGAGCTTTTCTCAGTATATTCACGTGAGTAACCCGCGATTTTTTGTTAAGCCCAATAATACTTCGCTCGACCCGGCAACAACCCCCTTGTCCTTGGCAGAGGCAATAATATAATATGTGTGTTAAAAATGAAAACTTCCTCGTTGACCGAGTGGTCGCAAGTGCGACTGCCGGGCAAGGGGTCTCAGGTTCGATTCCCGGGTCGGGCAAGTAGCACGGAGTCTGGAAATGTGCCCGGTATATGGCAATAGGCTCACCCCCTATTACATGGGACTCATAACATAAATAGTGAAAAGTGGGTGTTACATTGTACAGTGGCATTAAGTGCCGTAATGTTCACCTCTGCCTACCCCTTCGGGGATTTATTTTTTATGTATAAATAATGTAAAATGTAATTTTAATATGGCTCACCCTTGCGTTCGATTTTCCCAGTCGTCCAGATACAGGTTGGCTGTGGAGATCACGACTCGAAGCGACCCGTCCTCGTAACACAGTATCATCATTTTACTGAAACATTCATTATATATTTTTTTATGGCATAAGCCGGTAAACGAGCAGACGGATCACCTGATGGTAAGCAATCGGCGTCGCCCATGGACACCTGGAACACCAGGGGCGTTACAAGTGCGTTACCGGCCTTTTGGGTATTGGAAATTTGAGCATTGTTGGTGATTCAGGGATTGGTGAAGGGGGGAGGGGTAATTGGGCCTCCGGTAAACCGATCTGTTATCGATCACAATGGGAAGTCTCTTCTCACACGGAGAAGGAATGAATAAAAATATACTTACGTGTGGTGTTTCCCGAAGGGAGACGACATGGTGACTTGGTGAGCAGTCACCTGCGGTTTCTTCTGACTGATGTTTTTTAATTCTGAACATTCTTCTCCATATAAAATTGTTAGTTTTTTCTCGCTGAAACAGAAAATAAACTATATTACTAATTACTAATATTATAAATGGGACCATTCGTATGTTTGTGTGTTAGTCTGTTACTCAATTTGACTGCACGGTTGGCGCGGATTCAATTCCCGCACGGAACAACACTTTATGTGATCCACAGATTGTTGTTCCGTGTCTGTGTGTGATGTGTATGTGAACTTGTATGTTTGTAAACGTACACACGACACAGGAGAAGATCAGTGTCTTTTTTTAAAGGGGGGAAAATCATCGAATGACTTCTCCCGCCTGGGTGAAGCGGGATGGAGTGACAGACTCTTACTGACTAAAAACCACCCCGTTCCTTCTCCTGCACGTCGAGCCGGTAATATTTTACGTTCTCCACGTGTCCTTTCAAACTCAAAAGCATGTATTTTAATTAAACCATAATTTGGTACTTTTGAGACGTCAACTAATACAAAATAAATAATAGCATGTCAGTCTGTCCATCAGTGAAGCGAGGTGAAGCTAGGTGCTCATTCCAAAATGTAGATTCGAATGGAGATGAACGAGCTAGAAACTCCATTCGTTACTCTTTTAAAAAATAGTATGTATCGGCATCAGCCCTATTGGGCCGCCGTGGTGGTCTGATGCGTCTTTGAGAAACGCGGAACCCGAAGAGCCGTACGCTCCGGTCTGGTTCTGTGTAATAGGGGGTGAGCCTATTAAAATAGGTGCTTACCTATATCCAGCGAAGTAGTATTGTGCCAGTAGCCATCCTATTTCCACCATGAAGTTGATCTGAAGGGAGCATTTTAGTTCCCCTAAGCTACTATCGAGGATTTCTGAAAAATAAACACGTCAAAGTCAAAATGTCAAGGTCAAAGTCAAAATGTCAAGGTCAAAGTCAAAATGTCAAGGTCAAAGTCAAAATCATTTAATAAAACTTTCGTAAATTAATTATTATGTTTTCGACTTACTCACGTGACTGTTTGACGCGGAACTCGACTAGTTTCAAGCCATGTCAAACAGTTACGTAAGTAAAGCCGAAACACACATAATAATTAATTATTTATTAATATTAAACTGTCAAACACCAAGCGGTCACCGGTGACCGCAACCTATTGTTCTATAATTGTGTCTACAAAACCGGTACTCGACGAGTTAATAGACCAGGAAGGGTCTTTTGAACATCGAACAAAAATTAAAAACTAGCCGTTGGTTGACGTGATAGCCCGGAGGTTTAAGACGCCCGCTTCTCATGCATGAGGGCGCGGGGCCGAAACCTACCAACGGCAAGTACCAATGTGACTTTTTCCGAGTCATATGTACTTTCTAAGATTATTTAGACACCACTGACAAACGGTGAAGGAAAACATCGTGAGGAAACCTGCACTTATAATTTCTAATTATAAGTTTGTAATCGCCAACCCGCATTGAGCAAGCCGAATAGGCCGGCTCGACCGGAGTGATACCGCGGCCTCACAGAAAACCGACGTGAAGCAACGCTTGTGTTGTGTTTCGTCGTGTGAGTGAGGTTACCGGAAGCCCAATTACCCTCCCCTTCCCCAATCTCCCCAATCTCTGAATCCCCAACGATCCTCAAACTCCTAATCACCAAAAAGCCGGTAACGCACTTGTAACGCCTCTGGTGTTCCAGGTGTCCATGGGCGACGCCGATTGCTTACCATCAGGTGATCCGTCTGCTCGTTTACCGGCTTATGCCATAAAAAAAAGCGTGGTGATTAATGCTCAAACCTTCTCCGTGTAAGAAGAGGCTTTGCTCAGCAGTGGGCATTTATAGCATGTTGATGGTATTGCTTGATTTCGCCCGAATAATAATATATCAATTTTACAACAAAACTTTTTATAGTTTCAATTTTCCAAAATAAAATTAGCCTATGTTACTCAATAGTACATCAGCAACCTGTCAATAAAAGTCTTACAAAAATCGGTCCAGTCGTTCCAGAGATTAGCTAGTACAAACAGGGGGACAGACAGACAAAAATTGTAAATAATGTTATTTTGATATCTGTATCGTATGTATATTCATATGCATGTAGTGAAAAGTTGTTATTTTAATATAACAAACAGATACTCCAATTGGGTAGTTTCCAGGGTATCAAAATTAAAAATCTAATTAGTCCGTCAGTTAGATAATGAGAAAATATTAGACACGTATTTTTTTTATTTTCTCGTATTAAGTTGCAATACTTAGATAAAATGGCGCTAAGTTTAGGAGTGGGAGGTAGTTACGTCATAACGTGCTACAAAATGTGACACGCTGTGACGTCACACGATATTTCAAATTAATATATCGTCGAAAGTATTTAATTTTGTGAGAAATGAAAAAATACGTGTCTAAAGTTTCAAATAAACCAGACGGACATTAAAATAAAATTTGAAACTATTGTATTTTTTTTATCTGTATAGATGTCAGTCTGTCGATCAGTCCACTAGTTGCTCTATTTGCTTGTTCCAAGGTGTAGATTCCTATGGAGAAGAACGAGCAAGAAACTCCACTCTTACTTAACATTATAAACTAGCTACTTCAGCGCGGTTTCACACGCTGTGCTCAGCTCCTATTGGCCGTAGCGTGATGTTTTATAGCCCATAGCCATCCTCGATAAATGCGCTATCCAACACAAAAAGAATTATTCAAATCAGACTTGTAGTTACGGAGATTAGCGCGTTCAAACAAACAAACAAAAAAACAAACTCTTCCGCTTTATATAATAGTGTAAGATGCGCAAGATTGTGTCTTTGATTGTTTTATTTTTACTCAACAATGTCAAAACTACTGAAGGGATCCGAATGAATTTAGGAACAGGGGTAGATTATTGTGTTTTTTTTATTTGATGGGCCGACCTTTGACCACTATCTCGCCTGGAGGTAAGCGATGATGCGGTCTACGATGGAGCACGTCGTCCCATAAGGAACCTATTCACTCGGGCCTTGAAGACACCCAGGTTATACAAAGTCAAATTCAAAGCATTTATTTCAATTAAACCATAATTTGGTACTTTTGATATGTCAACAAATACAAAATAAATAATAGTCTGTCAGTCTGTTCGCCAGTGAAGCTAGGTGCTCATTCCAAAATTTAGATTCGAATAGAGAAGAACGAGCAAGAAACTCCATTCGTTACTCTTTTTAAAAGAGTATGTTCTACAATGTCTCTGATACATATTCCAATACTGTAACCCTTCAGGAAATACAGATTCTGGCAAGAATTCCACTGTAATAAGATAACATATAACATGGACTACTTTTTATCCATTGAGTACGCGAGTGGATCCACGGGCAAAATCTAGTTAGGGGCCATTTAAGTATTACGTAAGCACCATGGGGGGTGGGGGGGTCTCTGTTTCGCTTATTTTGGATGATATGGGGGGTAGGAGAGTCTAGATGATGATTACGTCATCGGTACTTATTTACTTTTTTACACGAATGGCAACCCTCATATTGAAATTATAAATTAAAGCAAAAACCGACAAAGAACTAGACATTATGGTATCTAAGAGAATATTAAAATTACAATATGTATAAAAAATATATAATTTAAAATCTTTACGTAAGCAAAGGGGGAGGGGGTAAGATCTTTGCTTACTTTTGCTGACGGGGGGGATGGGGGAGGGGGTAAATCATTGTAAAATATCTGCTTACGTCATATTAGAACGGCCCCTAAGAAGCATAAAATTACAATTCAGACTCACCTAAAAATGTTATGGAATACGGCTGATTGTGTGTTTTCTTTGAATCTTTAATAGTTGTATAGAACACGTGGAAGGGGCCGTTGGCGATGTGTTTGGAGGCCATATTGCCCTTAGGGACAACCACAGATAAGAAATCTTCCGCACGACGCGTCGGAGGCACTATAGGACGATAGTCACTGTCTGGGACAATAAAAAGAACTATATATATATTTTTTAATACGTAACATAACATCACGCCTTTTATCCCCGAAGGGGTAGGCAGAGATGCACATTATGCCACTGTACAATGTAACACCCACTTTTCACTATTTATGTTATGAGTCCCATGTAATAGGGGGTGACTCTATTGCCATATACCGGGCACAATTCCAGACTCCGTGCTACTACTGAGAATTTTTTAAAAACTTAGTAATACTTTTCCCGACCCGGGAATCGAACCCGAGACCCTTGCCCGGCAGTCGCACTTGCGACCACTCGGCCAACGAGGCAGTTTTTTTAATATACAAAAATAAATATATAAATTAATTATATATTGAATCTATATATATGATTCAAATATATATTGTATTGATGAATCTATATGATTATATGATTCAAATATATATTGTATTGAACAGTCGAAATAATTTATTTTTGATTAAGGACAGTCCTTATTTGTTACAAAACAAGGAAAAAAGTTATATACCATTCATACCTTTAACACGCTCCATACTGCTAGAAGCAGTCTTACTCCCTCGTTCTCTACTTCTAGAAGAGTTATAACTTGACTCTCCACTTCTACTGCTAGAAGCAGTAGGTTCTATATTACTGCTCGAAGTAGAAGGAGTGTCCCTCTTCTCTTCTTTTTTAACCACAGTGCTGTTCTGTGTGGCTCCTGCACTGTAAAAATTAGATTATCATCAACCTCATCAACAGCCTATAACTGGCCACTGGTGACAAAAGCCTCTTCTCACACGGATAAGGTTTGAGCATTAATCATCATGCTTGCTCAATGCGGGTTGGCAATTTCAAACTTATAATTAAAAATTATAAAGAGTAATTATAAGACTATTGGAAATAGGCTGACTGATTCGACGAACAGTACCAACCTAAAGAACATTTGAGTAGGTCGCACAAATACTCAAACTGTCAGAATACGAGTAATTAGAAAAGAAATGGCGAGGCAAAGTCTCGCACGGTCCTAGCACTAACAATTGTACATTATATTAAACTATAGTACATAGCATAACATCACGCCTTTTTATCCCCGAAGGGGTGTGGACCGAGGTGCACATTAAGCCACTCAATGCCACTGTACAATGTAACACCCACTTTTCACTATTCATGTTAGGACTCTAATGTAAAGGGGGTGAGCCTACTGCCATATACCGGGCACAATTCCAGTCTCCGTGCTACTACTGAGATTTGTTTTTCAACCCAGTATTAACTTGCCCAACCCGGGAATTGAACCCGAGACCCTTTGCCTAGCAGTCGCACTTGCAACCACTCGGGCAACGAGGCAGTCTAGTTTATAATATCATAGGATATATAGTATGTACCTGCTACTAGCATCAATGTCAAAGTTCCTGCCGTGTGCATATATCTGTTTGTGGACCATCATCTTTAACTGATCCACATACATCTGTCTCTGACCAGACAGCTTCGATGGGATCGGAAACTCTCCGGTACCAGTGTACGAGTCCAGGATTGATTCCACTGGAAAATATTAAGGGTAATAACATAATTAACATAGCAATAAGAATATAGAATTAAGACATACGAAAGGGCATTGATTAAAATTGGTGCCTTTCTTTTTTCTGGCGGCAGTCGATGATTTATGGAAAATATTATCTAGAATGACATTACAAATGAAATTGTCTATGGGCTTATATATGGAAATCTCAGTCTGGACTGAGTTATGAGCGTTGAAAGGAGCTGGAATCAAACATTTTACTTCGGTTTTTTATTAAAATTATTCATAGTTTTGTCACAATTTCTAACTTCAAATTGCGCGCCACTGTACTCCGGGCACAGGACAACGATATTACACCACAATATATTCATATTGCCAGGCACTAATTTTTATTACCTATTTTCTCTCAGTCGATAACTTGTGGTATTCTTTTAGGAGTTGTGTCATGAAGCTTCATGAGCGTCAGCTGTGGTACCAGTGGTGGGTTGAGTAGTGGTAGCCGTCCAAACATCTAATAAAGTATATTTTTTTTTGCCATTGACTCCTGGTGGGACACTCATCTACTTAATAGTTAGCATAATCTTTTGAAGAAAGAAAACCGTCGACTTTTAAAGTGATCAGCGCTATTCAATCCGCTACCGACGCCGCAGCTGACAAACATAGCATTTCATGATAGGGCTCAGTAAAGTATTTTGCGGGTTTTTGACTGAGAGGAAATTGATCATGAAAATCTGTCATAGGCCATAAACCGTATACATATAAATTGAACACGCTAGCCAATCAAGCGAAATGTTTCTTTTTCTTCAGCACTGGTCAGTTAAGTAATCGTTCACTCTGACCTGATTCAGTGGCCTAATAACAAAAAAAAAAAAAATACAAAATACAAAAAATAAGTAAAAAAAGTCCACAATAAGCTTTGTTATATTCCTTGAAATCGTTTATAAACATTTATTACAAAATATTTCTGACAAGTAAATGAAGAAATATGCGTTGTGTACGGTCACCATCAACAAAATCACAGGGATAATATAGCACTATTTTCACATCTTTGAACTGATTTAACTCGATTTGGACTGTGTTTTTGATATTAGACCCCATATATTTTTTTGTTTGTAATATTATTCTGCATCAGTTTTTACACATTCGATCAACTGCCGCCAAAAAATGAAAAGGCACCACGCTCCATACAAATTTGGTCATTGTCATTTCTGTTTATATTTTTTTTGAATAAATTATTTTTATTTATTTATTTATTTTAATAATTTTTTTTGTAGTCTTGTTTTTTTTTACTTATCTTATTATAAGTTTAATTTATCAATAATTGTAATACAATTTATACAACTGTAACTAAATTTAATGTTCCAATAATTCCGTATGTATAGAATTAGTAATTGACATCTTAATGTATTTTTTTTTCTTTTTAAAATAGATATGCACCCATGGAATCATTTGTTATTTTTCTGTATGTTTTGTTTACCATTTTATTTTTTTTGCATGTGGTGTTAACCTATAATTAATTGTTGCACTTGTAAATGTTTCTATAGCTATTTAATCAGTAATATATATAGTGTAAGCAATTGTTGGTTAACCAAAATAAATAAATAAATAAGTAAAACATGTTGCTTGCAAAGTTTATATGATTTTATTTTTACAAATATGTTTGTCACAATAAGGAACAGGTTTTACGTTGATACATCATATCAAATTCGTTCATACAAAAGTAGTTTCTGAGCATCGAAAATAAGATCTATAATGGAGTTAGTGGAGAGTGGTCACTGGTGACCGTATTGAACAGTTAACTAAGTATGTTTATTTACTTATTATTCATGTACTAACATCCTTACTAACATTATAAATCGGAAAGTGAGTTTGTTTGTTTGTTCCGCTTACACGCCGTAACTACTTAACCGATTGTTTTGAATTTTTGCAGAAGTAAAGTTAGAAGTCCGGATTAAATAATAGAGTACCTTTTATCCCGGAAAAATTGATATTCCCAAGGGAAAACAAAAACATTAGTATAGATGGCGCTGTGTGTATTGGTATATGTCACATAGGCTACTTTTCATCCTTTTGTGACGCGAACGAAGCCGCGGGTAAAAGCTAAAGGACAACACATATATAAAATTAAAGTACAAAGGTACCACCAATTCCTATTGGAATTTCTTCCTGTGGACCTGGGGCAGGAAAAGTAATAATAATATAATGACACAGTGTGTAATTACAAAACAGACTTATAACTAAACAGATAACAAAAGAAAAATTATATATATAACTAGCGACCCGCCCCGGCTTCGCACGGGTGCAATATGCATGTATTATACATACAAACCTTCCTTAAGAATCACTCTATCTATTAAAAAAAACCGCATCAAAATCCGTTGCGTAGTTTTAAAGATCTAAGCATACATACGGACATACAGCGAAAGCGACTTTGTTTTATACTATGTATTGATACACCTACAAATACATATAATATATAAATAAATACATACAATATACAAAGTATTTTTTTAAGGGGGAAATCATCGAATGACTGCTCCCGCCTGGGTGAGGCGGGAGAGAGTGTCAGACTCTTACTGACTAAAAACCACCCCGTTCCTTCTCCTGCACGTCGAGCCGGAGCCCCGGTTACCCGTTAGGTTCTCCGCGACAATATACAAAGGATACATCTAAATAAAGGAATTTACATACCAAGAGGAAAGGTAGAGTTCTATCGTAGTATATCATCTTTGAAGTTGGTTTTTTCAAATGTAGTTTAATAGGACTGTCTCATTGGCTGAGTGGTCATAAGTGCGATTGCCGGGCAAGGGGTCTGGGTTCGAATTCCAGGTCAGACAAAGTATTACTGAGTTTAAAAAAACTCACCAGTAGCATGGACTCTGGAATTGTGCCCATTATATGGCAATACACTCACTCCCTATTACATGGGATTCAAAACAAATAGTGAAAAGTGAGTGTTACATTGTACAGTAGCATTAAGTGCGTAATGTGGACCTCTGCCTACCCCTTCGGAGCTAAAAGTCGTGTTGTTAAGTTATGTTGTTGGTTCTATAGGAGTGTAATATACTGAACAATAAAATCAGGATTTAAAAGATTTTAATAAGCATTTTACAATAAACAACTTCTTTAACATATGTCTGAACAAAAAGTTAGTATTAAACTATTTTATACTTACAATGAGCATGGCTATACTCTCTAAAGTGTATAGGATTTAGTCTGAAACATTTCTCTGCGTACGGACACTCAGATTTACATCTTTTTGCATTGATACCGCTATCTGAAATAAAGGTAAAATTTTCCGTTATGTACATCAAAATATCAATATGAATCTAATGAGAAATGACTTGTTCGTACCTTCCATGTTATCTTTCCTTTTATTCGGTGTACTCATATCGGAATTAAAGCCAGTTTTCAAGTAATTTTGAAACTATAGTCAGAATTTTAATTAGATTCCAGATTTGACAATAGCTACTGTCATTTTGTGAAATAATGATACCACATATAACAGTGTAGTGATGAACACAAAAATCGATAAACAATCAGTGTGTGTGTTTTATAATAAATGATACAGAAAGTGACAGGATAGCGATAGCGATGACGGCGACAACTTATAAAATAACTTATTACCATAATACATCTATCTGTTTTATTGCTCATGTTCCTTCATGGTCACATTTTTTTATTTATTTCACATACAATTATAAAAGAAACGTCTCAGATCGTTGATTAATCGTCAAAACTAAATTATCGGTTCAGAAATATTTAATTTCCTGATATACTTAGTTTACGAGAGTAAAATTATAAACGAGAAGAATCGATCCAGAAATATTATATTTCCATATCGAATAATTTCGCAACGTCACTATTTAGTACTTGTTATAACGTTGCAACACTGAAATTGTCAAATCTGGAATCGAATTAAAATTCCGAGTATAATTCAAAATACGATAGAATACAAGGACTTTCTTTAAAACAATTTGACACTAGTTATTGACACTATTGACAGAACAACAGAAGAGAAGCATGTATTTGACATTAAGTATTACGTTTAGAAACTTACGATCAATGGCTGAGCCGGTAGTCTCGATATTGTTTACGACAATACTAAAATCGGATGGGAAGTGCCAAAGTTCTTTTTAAACTGAAACAAACGGTGAAAATCTAAATATAGTAAAGGTGGTGTAGTTTACTCCGAAACGGTAACAAGAATCAAAATGGTTATTTTTCCGAGTCAGTATACTACCATACTGACTCATACTCAATACATAAATAGTAGTATAAATCGATAACCATTTAGTTTTATTTTTGTAATTTAATTTGATTAATGTAATTGGTGTATACCGTGTTAATCAATAAACAAACAAACTATAAGCAAATAAACAATCCGCTTACGATAAATTTAAAACCGTTAATTAACGGTTTTCTCTTTTTCGATCAATATTCCCTTCCCTTCATTAGAAGGCAAAAGTGACACACAGATAGCCGCGGCCGGCGCCGGTATTTTTATTCCTTGGGACGAAAATTTAGCAAAATTTAAATAAAACAAACAATACAATTGCAGATAAACAGTGTTAAATTCAGTATTATGTATCAAAACTCAGGTAAGAACTAGTTATTTCTCAAATTTCTTACACGAAATCAGTGATATTTATTTTTGTAAATACTCGGTAGTGTTTTTTTCTAAATGCGTGCGTTTATAATTACAATAAAAATACTAAATGGCTTATTTATAATTCAAATTAAATGTCTTTCATATCATAGGATTGTAATGAAAATGTATTCGACAATATTCGAAAAATAACGACTGTTTCTGAGAATGCCAAATGATATAGTCAGCATTTTAGAAATAAAGGAAATTGCTATCAGTTGAACTAACATAGTCTCATAAAGCAAAACGGGTTACCGTGGTTCTGGCTCAGAGCAATGCTCGAACTGCTAAGGAGTGGAATTTTTTGCCAGTCTGTATTCCCTGAAGGGTATAACCTGAGTGTCTTCAACAACCAAGTGAATAGGTTGCTTATGGAACGTCGTGCTCCATCGTAGACCGCATCATTGTTTACCACCAGGCGAGATAGTGGTCAGAACGGGGTGGTGTTTAGTCAGTAAAAGTCTGACATTCATTTGCCTCACCTTTAATTGTGACATTGATAACAGCGAGAATTGTTTTCTCTTCCAGCCAATATGATAAACAACGAGAACTATGCATCATGTCCTTACAACCCAGCACACCGAGTAGCCCGCTCCAGGCTGCAGCATCACATCATCAAATGCGAGAAGACCCATCCGCCGCTAGAAATATGCCCGTTCAACGCTACACACCGTTACCCAGCCCATCTGATGAAAGCTCACTACGAAGTATGTCCGAATAAGATAGAAAAGGAACAAAACCTGAGTCTCAGAAGCAACAATAGTACGGTTGGAGCAAAACAATGTCCGATACAGCTGATGCAGAAGGATTATCTGCCACAGCACGATCCTGACAATGAATGCTGGGATGATTAAGTTCCTTATATGTCATTAAGATTGTATTACGTTTGTAGAGGTCCTTGCAGAGATGGATTAAACCTATAAAGCATCCTAGGCAAGCACCTCATTGGCGCCCTTAATTCTTTTTGTCCCCGCCGTCACTCTAATGTACAGTTGTACACGCAAGTCTCGCGGCGCCCCTCTGTAACCTGGCGCCCGGCACTTGTCTAGTTTGCCTTGGGGATAATACGGATCTGTATCCTTGTAATATGCAAAATTAGACTTTGGTCTTGTAGATTTTGATTTCTAATGAGATACTGTGTTGTGTTATAACAGAACCATCATCTTAACTTTTGTATCTTATATTGTTCATACTGCAATGTGGAGCAATGAGGGAGATGTGTTACTGTTATGAATATCTTTAATTAAGTGACCTAATATCTATCTTACACTACTTACCTATAGGGCGAGGTGTCACACACTACGATACAAAAGTAGTCTCCATACATCAATAGTAAGAGGAGAGCAGTCACCGGTGACCGTTTGGGGACTCGGCAGGGCAGTAAAGTGCCCTTCGGTTTACATATTGAATTAAAATACCCAAAAATTGATTAATTTCTTAATCTTAGATATTATTTATAATGTATGAAACGTAAAATATCACATGGTGACTTCATTTCATTGTGTATTGTTGACCAGGTTTGTGTACTAGGTTTTTTAATGTAATTTTTTATAATTTCTACAGTAATTTGGGACCTCTACAAACAGATGTGCCAAAATTTTAGTTATAAGAATTTATTATTCGCCTATACCTATAAGTATATCGATTTCTGTGTCATATAAACGTCATGAAAATGACTGAAAAATTTTGGTTTTTAAAACCTTTAGGTGATTAAAATTACCTATTTAGTTGTTAATTTTATTTCTAAGTAAGTATATTTCTAAGATTTAATTGAATTTAAACAATTGTTTTGGTACATTCCTAAGAACTACTGTTTTTATGTTGTAATTTCGAATCTCCAGTCATTCAAAATCTACATTTTAGTATATGGTTTATATCATTGTATTTAATAGGCGGCAGAGCCGGATTCAGACTAGAGAGCGCCCTAGGCAAGCACTTCATTGGCGCCCCTAATATTTTTGTCGCCTCCGTCACTCTATGTACAGTTGTACACGCGCGTCTCGCGGCGCCCCTCTGTAACCTGGCGCCCGGCACTTGTCTAGAGCGCCTTAGGGACAATACGGCTCTGTATAATTGTATTTTTATCAGGCACTCGGTCGTATGTCTGCGTCAATATTTCTCAGTATACTTATGTTAGAATTGAGTTTAACAGCTATTATACATTATATCTACACCTGGGAGCAAAGAAATGGAGCTACTAGCCTTTTTTTATTTAATAGAAACCTCTATAAACTTATTCTTTTACAAAAAATCGCTTTCATTTTAAAGATACTTAACTAAATTGGATACTTGCCAATTAGTCAAATTCAATACTTTTTTCCAACTGTCAACAACGACAGTCATAAATGAGTTTTGTACGAGATTGTGTATTGTGACGTCACGTTTTTTTAGCGCCAAACAGCATAGTTATTTCTTGAAAATTTGCTGGAAAAATACTAAAATTAAATTGGTCATAAAATCAATTAATGAAAGTGTGATTATTTTTTAATATGGTATTGTATTGAACAGTCGAATAATTTAATTTGACTATTGGGTTTAATACGACATGTGTTACCAATTAATAAAATATTTATCAAGTAATGAAGAAAAACTTTCTACGCTCAGTTTCTTTGCTTCCAAGTTATTTCGTTCATTATTTTTCGTTGCTTACCCAAGAAATGTTGCATTTAATAGTTTTTGTGACATTGGTTAGCTATAATTGTAAAAATATATACCTATGCCGATTTATAATTAGTAATTATTACAATTATAAATGTATTTTAACATTATAAGACATTATAGTCACATAGTATGTAAGTGAAATGGTCATGAACATCTAACAATCACGGCTCCTGCACGGCTTTGTTTTGAATTTGCCTACGGTTAGCCGCCAGCGCGCTTACGGCGCGTCGCCCGCGTGGTGGAAGCGCGCCGGCCGCGAGGTAGAAGATTTTTGTCACGAGTGTTATATAGTCAACAATACTTGGCATTTACGATTGAATATACAGGCTAAATAAATATAGGCCCAATTACCCCCTCCCTGGTCCCCGTCTCCCGAATCCCCGAATCCTCCACAATCCTCAAATTCCCAATTCCCATAAAGCCGATAACGCCTTGGTGTTTCGAGTGTCCATGGGCGGCGCCGATTGCTTACCATCAGGTGATCCGTCAGCTCGTTTACCGGCTCATGCCATAAAAAAAAATATGCCTAGAACATACGTAACGGGTTTTTTTAAGGAGGGAAAATCATCGAATGACATCTCCCGCCTGGGTGAGTGTAAGACTCTTAGCCCCCTTACGCACTAGCGGTCAACCGCGCGGCTAGCCGCTTTCTGCGGTTGACCGCTTTTCCAAATTAATATGCAACCGCTATGGTAACCGCGTCTGTTGATACGAATCGCCTAGGCGGTCAACCGCTAGTGCGTAAGGGGGCTTACTGACTAAAAACGACCCCGTTCCCGGTAACCCGTTAGGTTCTCCGCGACAGGTGTACGGGTTACGAATACGATGCGACGTTTGCTTGCTTTGTTTGAGCCTGGCAAGCAGCTCGAGGTCGGTGCGTTGTCGGCTCGCTGGCGGGGTGCAATAAGCACGCAGCGCGTCAAATACATCCAGAGGACCGCGTGCTGACCACCCGCCGTCGGTATTTTGTATTGTTATAAAATATATATAATACGACATACGATTTAAACTGACAAACACCGCGAGGACATCGGTGACCTATTGTTCTTTAATTGTGTCTATAATGACGATACTCGAAGGGTTCATATTTAAATGAAAACTTAATTGCTGGGTTAGAGCCGTGCTTGTTAGGTGCGATGACCTTAATTCTAAATGTTTTATGTAAAACATTACAATTTGAATTTCTTAATTAACATATTGTTTCATTTTTATATCGTTGTGTCTCGTTACCAATATACTGTGGCTCCTCAAGTGTTGCGGGTGTCCATGGTCGACGGTGAGCGCTGATCGCTTATCAACAGGTGATCCGTCTGTTTGTGTACCATTTATTCCATAAAAAATACCTTTGAGGAACACCTAAAATTGAATGGTATACGCCTTTTATCCCTGAACGGGTAGGCAGAGGTGTTACACATTACTATACTTAATGCCACCGTACAATATTATATCTATGGTACAATGTAACACCGACTTTTCACTTTTTATGTTATGAGTTCCATGTAATAGGTGGTAAGCCTATTGCCATATACCGGGCACAATTCCAAACTCCGTGCTACCACTAAGAATTTTTGAATGAAAAGTATAATTAACTACGAATAAAAACTTCATGAATGTTGTCGACCTACTACTTCTTCGGTTGAGTGGTCGTAAGTGCGATAGGTACGGTAAGGTAGTAGGCGTTTGGAGAGAAAACCTATTATCGATGATGTCCGACCTCCTCACCCAGGCGGGAGCAGTCATTCGATGAATTTCCCCCCTTAAAAAAAATCCATTGGCATAAAACTTTAAAACCTCACATACCTACATACTTTTGTTTAGCATAATAAGGTAGATGACTAATTTTTATTTTAATGTCCGTCTGGTAGATTATTTTAAATCATTAGACACGTATTTTTTATTTTTTTACAGAAACGAATACTTTGGACGGCGAATCGAACCCGCGACACGTTGCACGGCAGCCGGTTGCCCAGCCACCGCACCAACCGTGCAGTCATATTGATTTGAAATGTCGCGTGACGTCACTTCTATGTACATTTTATACGCAGAAATTACGTTTTAGCCCCCACTCCTAAACTTTGATTCGTTTTATCTAAGTATCATTTTATTATACAACAAAATAAAAAATACGTGTGTAATATTTTTTCGTTACCGAACTGACGGACTAATTAGATTTTTAATTTGCATACCCTGTCATCATCCCTATTGTAAGTTTTGCTATGAAAGACAGACAAATAAACAGATGCACACACTTTTCCATTCATCGATCGCTTCGTGGCAAGGATCAGAGGCGTCAGAAAGTTTTCAGAGGGTAGGCCATGCCCTGCAATGGAACGATAACGGCTAAAATAAATAATAAATCGTCTCGTGGTATTTATAGAGAAGTAACATCTTCAAAGACACCAAATAAAATGCTTTTGCTGTCACGTTATTTCTTTTTATTTTATTTATATTTAGGTACACTTCTTGCAATTGTATACAATGGCGGACTTAATGTCTAGTGGCATTCTCTAACAGTTAACCTTAGGGTGATGCAGAGAGGCACATAGTAGGTGTAAAAGTTTAAGACTGTTGTGAGTTTTGAACATTACTTTATGGTAGTATATATAATTATACATATCACACAATATTTACTAATGAAATATAGTGAGTTATCACTTCAGCAAACTTGTGAGGAACAATATACTTACTTAATGTGTTTTTTTCTAAGAAAACAAATTAGGATAATAGATAGCTTTGTCAAACAAAGCAGTACTTTATCAAGATCAAGATAACATTGTTAAAATAAAATTCCCACGGTGAAGGAAAGCTCCCGAATTTAAAAACACAAGTTGGGCTCTGTGCTTCTTCGATCATTCTACTTCGATACTTCGTGGCGGGCGCACGCTTAGGTACTCTCTTTGGCGTTAAAGTGATTCCTTTTGATCTCAACTTTATGCTGTTTTGATCCTGATATTTCAAACGACCTGCCTTTATTTTCCTGATCCTGATCTATTAAGAAAGGTTATATTAATGTAAGTAAATACTTTTTTGAAATAACGTTTCAATTCATACGATGTAAGCCATCATCAGATTTTATCCTCAAATGGGTAGACACAGGGAATTTAGAAATAATAATATTTTATCCAAAAACCTAACTTTAACTCGTTGAGTACCGGTTTTGTAGACACAATTATAGAACAATAGGTTGCGGCCGCTTGGTGTTTGACAGTTTAATATAAAAATAACAATATTTTTTGTCTCTTTCAGCTAAAATGGTATACAACGAGAACTACGCGCCATGTCCGTACAACCCATGCCACCGAGTGGCTTGCTCCAGGCTGCAGCATCACATTATCAAATGCCAGAAGACCCATCCGCCGCTAGAAATATGTCCGTTCAACGCTATACATCGTTACTCGGCACATCTGATGACAGACCACTACGAAGAATGCAGTGTCGGTCCTATTAACATTTTTAGATGGTGCGACATATAAAACAGTACACGTTTAAATAAAAAAATAAAATATTAGCAGTTGTTTTTACATTCACAGCCTGTAAAACCAAAGGCCTCTTCTCACACGGAGATGGTTTGAGCATTAATCACCACGCTTCCTCAATGCGGGTTAGCGATGTCAAACTTATTATTAGAAATTATAAGCCCAGGGGGCTTTCTCTTGAATCCAATTCCGATCGATCGACATTGGTATTGTGTCGTACTCTTGAGTTGCAACACTAGCGCCCATTGCACCCGTATTGCGTGGATATTTAATGAACTAAATGGTATTGAGTTTGGCTTTATATTCCGTACTTTGAATGCTATTGTAACAGCTACGATTGTGGTTGTAGTGTTGACATTGAATCATTATTAAGATTTTATTAGATTGAAATTGCATTGGCATTGAGATTGTTTTCGAGAGTAAGCACCCAGGTTTCTTCACGATGTTTTCCTTCAACGTTTGTCAGCGGTGGCTGAATAATCTAAGAAAGTATTATATAGGGTGTTTGTCGCATAGACCTAGACAATTTATTTAGGGATTTGGGAGCTCATTAGCTACCTGTTACCCATAAACTCGATTATTATACATATGTTTTTTACCTCGTTAGTCTAATGGTCGCAAGTGCGACTGCCGGGCAAGGGTTCTCAGGCTCGATTCCCGGGTCGGGCAAAGTATTACTGGATTTTTTTAAGACATCCTCAGTAGTAGTACGGAGTCTGGAATTGTGCCCGGTATATGGCAATAGGCTCACCCCCTATTACATGGGAGACTCAAAACATAAACAGTGAAAAGTGGGTGTTACATTGTACAGTGGCATTTAGTGCCGCAATGTAATGCCGTGTGATGTTATATTATGCTACGAGTTATTTTTATTAAAATGAAAAATTTTCCCAAAACGTTTCTAAATTAACTCAAAATAACATTTTTGTTTGTGTCCAGTAGGTAGTCCAAAATAAGTTTTGTTTAAACACAGACTCGTTATACATAGAGGTACAAGTCTTCGTTTGATACAAATTATTTTAAAAAAATTTTACAACCTTCGAAAGATGAATTTTTCGTTAACAAGTCTGGATTTTTTTTCTACAAGATTGATGTAAATGACTAGCTATTAGACCCGCTGAATCAGTACCGTTCTAAGCCCGTGGCAATTTCACCAGATGAACCCCCTTCAAAGAAGTTCAGATACGAGTGTACGTACGTATTCTCACGTGAGTGAGAGAGCCATGCTTCGGCATGAATGGGCCGGCTCGACCGAAATGATACGCAATTACCCCCCCTCCCCTTCCCCAA